CCGCGCTGTTTGCTCAGGGAGCAGTCGCTGTTTCGGCACATCCAGCCCCTTGCCTGGCCGCTGCCTGCAAGTTTCCTGCTCCTTTTTCCACCCTGGTGGCCACACGGGTGGCAGTAGTGGTAACAGCGGGTGGCCTTTGCCTGCCAGCTCTTTGTCCTTCCTCAAAGCTCCTTGCCTGTTGCTCTAAACAGTTGCTAGGAGGAAGCGTGGCCGGATGTGATCGTGGCTGTCCGGGCTGGAAGTGGTGTTCTCAGCCAGGTGTGGCCGGCCAAATGCCAATAACTTCCTTGCTTTAAATGCTGCTGAGTCACAAACCTAGTGGAGATCTGACAGTGGCATGCTTGTTCCCTCCCAGGTACACCTTGCTGTGTGGGAATCCTCCCTTCGAGACCTCTGACCTCAAGGAGACCTACAGGTGTATCAAGCAGGTGGAATACACCCTCCCGGTCTTCCTYTCCCTGCCTGCCAAGCACCTCATCGCCGGAATCCTCAGACGCAACCCCCAGGACCGCCTCACCCTYGATGAGATTTTGGACCATGAGTTCTTCAAGGTGAATAGGTGGGGGCTGGGTTAAGGGACCTTTGTCCAGGTGGGATGAGTTTTTTGGAGCTGTACAGGGGTGCTGTCCTTGTCCTGTCCTAAACTCAGTCCTTCAAAGGGAGCAGCCGCTGTCCTGTCCAAATGCCAGCCAGAGGAACTGAGGGATCTGGTGTGCTTCTGCTGCCTTGTTACTATAGCAAGGGTTGTTTCCTGTGCTGATGCCAGTCGTGGTTCCGAGGCTTGACGGAAACACAAGCTGGCTGTCAGGAGGGATGTGAATGACTGCGGTCAGCCCAGGGCAGCTGCTCTGCCTGGGGCATGTGGCCTATGGAAACCAAACCTCTCTCTTGACCTCTCTGCAGGGCTACACGCCTGAGAAGCTCCCTCCCAGCAGCTGCGTGATGGCTCCAGAACTGAGTCCCCCCAATCCTGCAAAGACTCTGTTTGCTAAAGTTACCAAGACACTCTTTGGGAAGAAGAAACCCAAGGGTGAGTTTGTGGCTTGCCAGGGAGCCTCTGGGTGACCCTTCCTTCAGGGAGAAGTGGATCCTCTCTCCTGGAGAGATCTCCTGATGGGTCTCTGTGGACCCCCTGCCTGGGGACAGCACAAGCTGGGTGTGCCCCTGCCTTTCTTGTGCTGGTGGCCTGGCCATGGGTGTGTGCCTAGAGAGCGGATGCAGTGCTGCAACCCATGGGGCAGTTCCTCCTGGAAGCCCTGTGTTGCATGAGAACTGGGAAGTGAAAGTGGGAGGCAGCTGTCTGACACCCTCCTTGCTTCCATGGGCATGGGAGCAGAAAAGGGAGAGCTGAGCTACTGGGAGGAGTGGCCTGGATGTCCCCATCCCCTGTGCTCAGCAGTGTGCTCATCTCTTGCTCTCTCCTCAGCCAAGAAGGGCTCTTCAGAGGACAGGGATGACATCTCCAAGTTGGTTACTGGGCTGGTAAAGACTTCAATCTGTCGGCAGATGAGCTATAAAACTGTGGAAGGGAATGAGGTGAGAACATCTCTGAGGCCATGCACGCCCTTCTTTGGGTGAGCGGGCAGGGTGGTGATGAAGCCACATCTCTCTGCAGGCCACTCCTGTATCGTGCCGCAGTGCCAGCTCCAGCCCTGTGGAGACTGTGGTGGAGGAGACTTCTCACAAATCTGCATCCCCCTCCATCCGGGGAACGATGGCCAGCAGCTGTGAAGGTGAGCAATATCTGCCCCGGCCACCTGAGCCTGCCCCAAGCTTCCTGTCGTTCCTGGGCTGATAGCGGGGCCGGCTGACTCAGCCTGTCATCTTGTCCCCGCAGCCTTTGAAGATTGCGTCACTGCCTCTGCCATCATCGAGTCAGCTGTCCGGCTCCTGCGGACCTGCCTCTCCTCCATGCCACCAGGTAAACTGGTTGGACTGCTCTGGGATGGGATTGGGTGCTGTACATCCCCTTCCCCATGGGATTAAGGCATATTTGGGGTACACACAGCACCCTAAATGGTGCTAGAGCCTGCTGTAAGGATCTGCTCCCTCATGGGGTGGTGAGATGGACAGGGCTCATCTCCTCTCTTCTCCCAACAGCGGAGARAAACCCTGCTTCCCTGGCCCGCCATGAGCACTTTGTCTGGGTGAGCAAGTGGGTGGATTATTCCAACAAGTATGGCTTTGGCTATCAGCTCTCCAACCGCAGCATTGGGGTCCTCTTCAACAACGGCACGCACATGACGCTTTCCCCCAACCACAGGTGAGTGGTAGGAATGGGGCTGGTCTCTGAGAAAGTCCCTTGGGTGGGAAAGGGCAAGGGAAGTCTGTGCCAGGGTGGACCTCCCCAAAACTCATGCTGTGCTCCCTGCAGGACTGTACATTACAATCCGACCAACAGCAAACACCTGGTGTTCTCCGTGGCTGCCATCCCTGAGCAGCTGCARGGACAGATGAGTGTCTTGCGCTACTTTGCGTCCTACATGGAGCAGCATCTCATGAAGGTGAGTGTTGGGCCCCAGGCTGGACATGGGATCATGGTTTGACCACCCCACTTGGGCTGGCTGTACTCCCTGCTTGCAGACTGTGGTTGGGTGGACATTCAGCAGTGTGCCCTGGGAGTGGGGACCCCAYTGAAGGGGTACCCAGGTTTGGTGTGGTGTGTGCTGCTGGCAGCGCTCCCTTGTATGAGACCAGTGGCTTATGCAGACGCTTCTTTCAAAGGGAGGTGACCTGCCCAGCATCGATGACCTTGGGCAGCCAGCCCTGCTCCTCCTGCAGTGGGTAAAGACTGACCAAGCCTTGCTCATGCTCTTCAGCAATGGCACCCTCCAGGTATGTGTGGGGCACCGTGGAGATGCCCAGACCCTTGTGAGAAGGAGGCCAGATGGGGGTCTCTTGGCCTGAGCTGGGTCTTGTCTGCCACAGCCCAAATGCAAAATCCAGCTGTGAAAACAGCTGTGGGTGCAGGATGCTGCTCCAGTGCCTGGAGCTGCTGCTTCCATSTTCCCCAGCCCATGGGGGGACATGACACTTCAGGGGGATGCTTCTCTCTGGCCCCRAGGGCTGGCACATTCCTGCCATGGGGCATGGAGCAGCAGGGGTGCTAGGGCTGGTGCATTCCTGCTGTGGGGCATGGAGCAGGGATGCTCCTGGGCAGGTTGGGGAGGAGGAACGGGTTGAGGCAGGAAGTGTGGCTCCATCCTGGCTCCCAGCATGCTGTGGGAAGCATGGGTTAAACCAAGCCCAACTTGTCTCCTAGGTGAATTTCTACAATGACCACACCAAGGTGATCATTAGCAAGCCTGATCACTCCTGCCTTGTCACCTACATCAACCGGGAGCGCAACTCCTACACTTACAAGCTGTGCAGCATCCAGGAGCTGGGCTGCTCTCCTGAGCTCCACCACCGCCTCAGATACATCCTCAAGCTTCTCCAGGAATGGGCTGAGGCCTAGTGTGGGACTTTAGGGAACCCTCTCTGGACATAGAGGTTTCCCCCTGCCCTCCCGTGGGATGGGAGGTATGATGTGGTGCTGGCTACCCTCCTGGGCACTCTATATTCCAGTGCTCAGCTGGACTCTGGACTAAGACACGTGGATGTGGTTACAGCAGCRGGTCTGGATATCCTTGCTGCTCACTGGCTCTGGGCAATCGCTGTCTTCCCACTGGCAGCTCCTGCTCTGGTGGTGCTGGTCTTGATGAATGGACTGGGGTGTTACAGGGAGGTGGTGGTGAGTGAGTGTCCTGCAGCCATGTGGCTGTGCCATGTTTGGGGCTGGCAACTGCCTGTGCTGTGGGCTCACGTTGCCCTGTCCAAGTTGATGCATCAGTTGCACAGACCCTCTGCATGGCCTGGAGACAGCTGCCACAGCCTTSACCTCAAACTTTGGGTGCTGTGGGATAGGAAAAAACCTTTCCAGGGGTGGGCAGGGGTGAAGGGTGCTGCCTGCCCTGCCAGTGGCTCTGGGCTGGTCTGTGCCACTCCACAACTGCTATACTAAAGAGGGGGCTGTGCTGGGCCCAGCTGTGCCCTGTCTCTTCCCAAATTGTGAATTGTCTGGTACAACTTGAGGTTTGATAAAGGGTGGGGGATGGGATCTGAGGACTTGCCTGGAGAAGCCCTCATTTTGTTGGGACCCAGGGTTATTTCTTATTTCAAGGCAGTCTCTGCCATGTGGGACTATTTATGTATCTTATTTATATGGAATTATTTATTTTTCCTGTTGGTCTGTCCATGTGCAGTTCCCCTCTCCCTGAGTCACCTCAATAAAAACTCATTTGTGTTAGGGCAAACTGTGTCTGCCTTGTCTGAAGCTGGAGGCACAAGAGGGCTTCAGCATCATCCCTGCTCCAGAACTGCTCCTGCCTGCCAGGGATGACGCTTCTTGCCACTGACTGTTGCTGGGGGACAAGGTCCGGGAGGCAGGATSAGTGTGAGGAGCTGATGGCCTATCTGCTGCTTTCAGGGGACTGGCACAAAAGGCAGAGTTAGCTCTTGCTGATGCTGATAGAGCCCTGGAGCTGCCTCAACTTCTTGCTGCCAAACTCATTCCCAATTCTTTCTGCATTTGGACCCAACCCAGCTGCTCTCCTGATTCTGCTGAGCTGCAGAAGGCAGGAGCTATGACCTCGGTGGTGTAGGGGTTGCCTGGGTCCTTGCACTGACATCTTCTGTGATGGGATATGAGCTGGGCAGGAAGCCAGGAAAGAGCTCTCTGAGCTTGCTTTGAAGGTGATCTGTGTAATCAATCTGCCTGGGAGCAGCTTGTGCTGCAGGAAGGAGCCTGGGCTGCTCCAACAGCCTTGGGCAGTTGCCTGTTCCAGGGAAATCCAGCCTTTTGTTGTGTTTGCTGCCGCTTGGGTCTCCTTGCAAACCAGAGCAGTGGGAACTGCAGCGTGGGTGTGAGCTGAGGCTGGAGTGAGCATCGGTATCTTGTTCCCTGCACACACCCTGGCCAAAGACTCCAGGTATGACACACAGCTGCACAAAACCTTTATTTCAGCTGCTCCCTCCCTACATCTCTACAAGACTGGGTGGAGGGAAAGGCATGTGCTACTCGAAGTAGACCCCATGCACTGTTGCCACAGCAAAGAGGGAAGCGTTGGAGAAGGTGGCAGAGGCAAAGCTGTCATTTTCAGGGTCCCATAGTGCCCGGCTGGCCACCACCAGGCTCTGCTGGCCCTGCTGGCCCAGCACCACATGGCAGACCAGCTTGTAGCGGGGTGGCACCACCTGCTTGGCCCGGCTCTGCAGCAGCTCAGTCAAGCTCTGGGCTAGTGGGGCACTGCCCTGGGGGCTGTAGACAGTGCTCTCCAGTGCACTGGCCAGGGTCCCCTCCAGTACCCGCTGCACCCTCTCCGCACTGAACTTGCAGCCTTCTTCTGGCCCCATCCTGTAAGTGTTTCCGAGGCGGGTCTTGAGGCTGGGTTGAAGAATTGGGAGCCCAGAGAAGCTAACACGTCTGTGGAACATCCAGGGGCCAATGGAAGGGCGYCTGCTCCCCGGGACCATCCCGAATGAGCTGCGGCGGCTGAGGATGGAGTTGCGGCGGGAGAGCAGCGGGGGTGGTTTGCTGTCCTCGGTGCCCCGGGCTGGGGCTGTGGGCTGGGAGCCTCGGCGTCCAGTGCGGAACGAAGGGGCTTCGGTGCTGTCTTCAGCCACCACCTGGGTTAGCAGGGCCATCTCTGGGAAGGACTGCTCAGCCATAAGGGCAGCCTGGAAAGGAGATGCAACTCCAAGTGTCGGTGAGGTGGCCCCTCCATCCCCCTGCCTCTCTGTTTCACTTCTCCCTGTCCTCTGCAAACCCCATGCCTCCTGGCATGTGGGTCTCTGTGGGACAAGATGCAGAGGAGCTGGGAGATCCATCGCAGCTGCATTCTCTTCTTCAGCACCTCCAGGCCCAGCAGACTCGGCCAGCTGGAGCTGATCCAGTGCAGCAGTGCATGGTTCACACAGCTCTCTGTTCTGTTCCCAGTCTCTCCCCCAGGCACAGGTGTCTCCTTCCCCAGTGTTCCTGTCTGCATCTGATCCCACACTTACCCGCAGTCCCACTCCTGTCCTTCCAGAGTAAACCCAGGGGACTTGTCTCTGGTGGATGTCACTGCCCAGGATCGATCTTTGTCTTGCAAGTTGCTGTGAGCAGGGCCAAACCTGTTGTGCTCCTGGAACAAACCTGTTGTGCTCCTGGAAGGTGAAGTGTTGCTACGTGACACTGTAAGTCTCCAGGGCTGCTCTGGGGCATGGCATCTGTAACTCCTTGTTTCCCGGTCCCTGGACAGCCCTGTCTCCCTTCACTCCTGTCCCCTCTGCATTTTCAGCTGTGCCAGCACAGGGACATGGTTACTCCAGGCATGTGCCCTCCAACCTCAGCTCCCTGCCAGCCCTGAAAAATGCAGGCTGGTGTTGGRTATGCAAGAAAAGAGCAGGGGGTGGAGAATAGCCAGAATAGCCACTGTGATCACTACTTTGCACCCTAACTATGGGAGGCGCTGGGAATTCCAATGGCTTGATTTTGCTCAGAGATTCYCACCCTTTGGGTACCCCCATTGCACCAAAGGAGAGTGTGGGTCGGTGGGCACCCATTCAATCATATAATMACATAATGGGTTGTRTTGAAAAGGACCTTAAAGATYATCTAGTTCCAAACCACCTGCCTGGGGCAGATATGCCACCCCTAGACCAGGTTGCTCAGGGCCTTATCCAAACCAGCCTTGAACACTTCCAGGGACTGGATAGAGCACAGCCCTGACACGTGCCAGGGACCCTGCTGCTGTAATGCTCCAGGGCGGGGAGCAGGTCCCTGGGAGCTCCTGACCCTGGCCGGGGTTTCTCTCTCAGCCGGCGGAGCCCAGCCCAGCTGGTACGACACGGCTGCTCCATCAATGTGCCTTTGTCTGGCCCGGCTGCCRAGCTATTTGAGGAAAGTGGAGACGGCTTTTGTGTTGCTATCTCCGATCAGAGGTATTTATAGCCTGCCTCTGACTAGCGCTGCCAAGCACACTGCCAGCTGGACCCCATTCCCTTGGGGTGCTGCCTCAGCTSCGGGCCCCATTCCTGTCTCCCTCGCACCACCCACTGACAAAGGTGGATCCCTCCATGGGCAATCCCCTGTATCGCTCTCCTTGGGCTGCTTGAGGCCAGCCAAGGGCTGGGAGAACAGGGACAACGTATCCCCTGGCAAAGCAGTTGGTTTGGGCTTAGGTGAGCAACCTGATCTAGAGGGTGGCATCCCTGCCCATGGCAGGGGGTTGGAACTAAGCCTTTCTATAAGGCTGGTGATGCTTTTTTCTGCCTGCAATCACTTGTGCCCCAAGTAGACATGAGAGCTGCGAGGCTCTGGCCTGGATTGTCAAAGGAGAGAGAGCTTCCCCCATTTTGGAGGGGCAAATCCCCCTGCTGGGCTCCAGCTTGCTCCAGTGCTGYTGCTGGGGACCCAGCCATGCCCAACAGCTTTCTATGGGGGCTGTGCAGGTAGAGGTGAGGGTGATCTTCACGCATGTGCTGTCTTTCCAAAATCCCAGGTGCCTGCCTCTCTTCACCCCATCTCTTTGCTCTGCAGCAAAGCCACAAGTTTGCGGGGCAAGAGCCAAGCCATGAAACACGGCAGGGAATTGCACTGGCAGCGAGACGCGGCTCTGCTTCCCCATGCGGTGAGTGCCGGCCGRCGCGGCCTCAGCTCGGCGGTGCTTCACGCCCGAGTGTCCCACCGCTCCCCCGCCCCCGGCAGCCCGGCCTCCAGCCCCGCGCTGCCTGCCAGGTTTCCCTAGCAATGGGCCGTGCCGTACGACGCGGCGGGCTGGCTCCCTCCCCGCGGCCTCCCCAGGCTGGCCGGCCTCCCGACAGCCTCCAGCTCCCCTCYCGCCATGCTCCAGCCTCCTCCCGCCCGCCCGCACCTCCTTCCGCCGCCGCGCTCCCTCAGGCAGCCCATGGCCGGACCGTGCTCGGCGCGGCTGCAGGGCGACGTGGCCGCCTTCACCGCTGCCCTCCGCAGCCTGGTCAACAACCCCCAGTTCAGGTGAGGGCCAGGGGGGTGCCGGCTCCCCCAGCCACGCCGAAGCCCCCGGCGCTGCTCCGCGGTGTTTTCCCGCAGCCCCAAGCCCTCCCTGCCGAGGGGTTGGGGCCCGCAGGCACTCTCGCCGGGCAGCTGGTGCGGCCGACGTGGCTTGTGCAGCTCCCCCCACACAGCCGTGACATCTCTCAGGAGGAGGGACAGTTCCCGGGTGTGCCCAGACCCCGTCTGTCCCCCTGCATGGTGCTGACAGTGCAAGGCAGTATTTTGGGATAAATCCTGTGCTGGGGCTTCTGCCCTTGCTAAGAATGGGGTACTGCATCCATTGTGCTCCCCAGGGACAGCTTCCTCCCTRCTCAGTTACTCTCCCACCCACTGGTGATTTACTTCAGTCTCCCTGGAGGACACGCGTCCCTCCTCACAGGGTTTGACATTCCTGCCACCTCGCGCCAGAGCAGGGAGCAGAGATGGAGATGCTGCTTTGGCTTTCCTCACCTACATGGTATGTCCTGCCTGCCTGTGGTCCTATTCACCCACTTCCTGCTGAGGCCTGGCCAGCCTGAGGAATACCAGAGCTATCTAAGGAAATCCCCATTCCTGCTGAAATTTCTGGCCACCCAGAAGAGAAATCCCAGTGAAAACTCCCCAGCCACAGCAGCAGGCAGTGACCAGGCACTGACAGCCACTCCCCCATTCTCGGCCTACATCCTGCTGCTCCCATCTAGCAACCCCCATCCCCTATCCAGTATCCTGCAATTTGCACCCTGCACCTTGAAATCTCTGCTCTGCATCCATTTTCTTCATCCCCCATCCTGCATGTTTTCTCCTGCAGCCTGCACCTCACAGCCTGGGCTCTGTAGCCTTTTTTCTGTATCCCACTTCCCCCAGCCTTCATCCTGCACCCATCCTGCAGCCTGTGTCCTGCATCCCAGACCTTGCATGCTGGAATCACAGCCTGCATCCTGTSTTCTGCTTGCCCCTCTTGGCCTGTGGACCTCAACCACAGAACAGTTTTTCATGTTCCCCCTTGCAGTAGCAGTCATGGAGGACCTGTCGGACTCTGCCCACACCACCCCTCCTGCCACAACTGGGTGTCTCCTGATAGGCTTGGGATGATTCAGGTGTCCTTCCTTCTGGTGGGCACATTCACCTCCCTGTGGGACAGTCTGAGGGTCAGGCCATGGATCTGTGCATGTCCTCATGGCAGCTGGAATTTGGGTGGCATGTCTTCTGCTCATTGGCCTGCTGGGATGGAGGAAAGGGACAAGGGATGGAGGAAAGGGACAAAGGGACGGATGGGCCATGGCCACAGGTGCTCACAGGCTTGAGACTCCCTGTCCTTTGCCTGCGTCCTTTCCTCTGATCTTGCCCCCCTTTCCTGGGGCCATGGAGCTGGGGAACCTTTCRGAGGGGGACCATCATAGGGGATCAGGGCAACAGGATGGTCCCTGTGCCCTAGTGTGTGCCACAGGCTGCTCTGTTGGGCCTGTGCCAGCCCTGCTGGCAGCAATGCCAGAGGCTTCACATCCCTGAGACGATGAGTCAGTTCCCGTGAGTCAAGGAGGCTTATCCCGGTGACAGCCACGTTTTCCTTGGTTCTGCTGTGCYGAAAGAGAAAGTCACTTTCTCCAGCTGTCTTTGGCCTTTCTCTGCCCTGCTCAGTGCCAGCACCCTGGGCTCTCTGTGCTTTCCAGAGGACCTGTCTTGCTCACCTCACCTGCAGCATTCAAATGGCTGGAAGGAGCCACCAGCAATGTGCTCTCACTTTAAAATTAAAGGGTACTGCCCTGCTGTGATGGGCACTGAGCAGATCCYTTCCTATGTGCCCTGTCCCAGCCCAGGGCAGGCTGTGCCCTTGCTTTCCAGGCACGGTGTCCCTCACGGTCCCCTGTCCCCGCAGCGATGTGATGTTCGTGGTGGGCCGRGAGCAGCAGCAGGTGTTTGCGCACCGCTGTGTGCTGGCGTGCCGCTGTCAGGCGTTCCGTGGGATGCTCAGCCAGGCGCCGGTGGGCAGCCAGGACTCCTCCAGCAGCATCCCACCCCAGGGACCCTTCATCCTGGGCAACGTGCAGCCTGAGGTCTTTCTGGCTGTCATCGAATTCCTCTACACCAACAGTGTCACCCTCAACAGCCACATCGTGAGTGGGGATGGGGCTGGTGGGGACTGTGGACATGGGAGGGGCAGGAGGGAGATGCAGGGGAAGGGGGTGCTTTGTAGCTCTTGGCATGCCAAAGTTGGAGGCGGTGGTCTGTGTGGTGCTCTCTGGCTGGTTAACAGTGCAATGAATGCATGGGGTCTCAACCCAGCACAGCGGGGTGTCCAGAGCACGAACATCTGGCTGTGCACACCCTGGATGGTGGGAATGGGAACACCACACGAGACCTGAAAGCAAGGGCACAGCCTGCCCGGGGCTGAATTTTTCTCTATGCAGCAGCCTTATCTCCCATGGCCCACTTGGGAGCTCCCACAGAGGCAGGAGCATACATGCCCTTGCCCTTGGGCTGCTGTGCCCATCCATGGCCCTGCACAGTGATGCTCACAAGGTCCTTCTTGCCTGCAGGCGCTGGAGGTGCTGACCTCGTCAGTGGAGTATGGCTTGCAGGACCTGTGCAAGGTATGACCCTATTTAGGCTGGGGGCAGTGGTTCCTGAGTGCCCCCGGGCTGGGCAGCACCCCAAGATGGTCCCTGCATGGCTGGTAGTTGGAGGTGCCTCTGAGGAAAGCACCGTGGTTCATCACGCAGGCTCAGCCCTGCTTCCGATCCTGGAAGGTCTCTCCAGTGGGATTCCCCTTTGAGGGGGTGCAGCAGCGGCTGGGAACCCCACAGGGGAATCCCGGGAAGTCATGGGGAAGGTCATGGAGTTTCACATCTCCTGCGAAGCAAAGGTCAGAAGGAAAGTCCCCGTGCCATCGCCCACGTGTGCTCTCTGGTCATCTGACAGGGTGATGCAGTAAAGAGAGCCGTGATCCTTGGGAGCAGTCAGCACCCCAGCTGTGGTGCTGCCAAGGGAATGCTGCTTCAGGGGGGAGGGTTTTGGAGAGGCAGGAGAGATCAAAGAGGAGAGAGCTGGACGAGGAGCGGGGCAGGGAGCTGGAGCAGCTCCTTCTTGGGGAGGGCGGCCAGGCCACGTCATCAGCCTGATTCTTGAATTACAGCGGGGCTGACCGCCTGACCCACCATCTCACACCCGGATTTCCCCTCCCTCCCCACGCACCACAGGGGGAAGGACCTCAGGAACTGAGGAATCATGGGCAGTGTCTGCCAGGGCAGTGGAATGGCACCTGTGGGATCAAACTCAGCTGAAGCCCAGATGTGGTACAGAGCTGTCAAAAAGCTATCTGGGTAGGGAAGGGACATAAAGATGTGTAGCGGAAGAGGGGGACTTGCTGCTCCTGTCACACCCCACCACCCAGAAATGCATCCTCAGGGGGATGACCTGCAGTGGGGAGAGCCATAGAGSAGGGGTGGGAGGGAAAGGGGCTGACTAAGGACAGCAGGGGAAACCATGTCAGTGTGCCCAGCTGCAGGGTGACCTCATATCCYTGCTGCCAGTGACTCAGGGCCCTTCTGCCCAGCTGACAGCTCCTCCCTGCATGACACATTCCCATGGGTTTCCCAGGGACTTTGGTAGGCAGCTGAGATAGGCAGGAGAGAGGTCCCACTCACTGGTAAATACACTGGTCTGGCTTCATCCCACCTGCATCATCCATGTGTGGGGTGCAGCTGGAGGTGCTGGTCCCGCAGCAGTCACAGCCAGAGCACAGCTGGCAGGCAGGGCTGGGACCAAGGTCACCCAACGCACTGCAGGTGGCACCAGGATTGTGTGTTGTGGCAGAACATGGATGGCATCTCTAGACAGGGGTGGGGGACTCATCTGGGGCTATCAAGTTGGCTGGGTTTGGTCACATCAGGCTTGGTCCCTGGCTYAATCAGTGGCCAAGCTGGCTGCCCACATCCACTCTGCAAGACCTCATCCCACAGCCCGTTGCTTATGAAACCCTGGGGGGCTGGAGGTGCCTCTGCCCCACATCCCATGTGCTGGGGGCTCTGGGGTTGCTGAGAGCTGAGGCAGGGTTGTGTTCCCCCCTCTTCTCACCCTTCCCCTGTCTCCTTCCAGCTCTGTGTCAAGTTCCTCAAGGACACACTGAGTGTGGAGCAGGTCTGTGAGGCCCTGCAGGTAAGAGTGACATGGGTAGGGTCACAAAGTGTTAAAAATAACCTGTACAGTTTTGGGGCAGGAGCAAACTTGACCCTCCTGTTCTCAGCTGGACACTGAGGCAGGATTTCCCATTCACACCTGGCACAGTAGCTGCCAGATCATTGGGATTGTACCAGGGCTGCCAAGGACAGCGGGGCCACCAGCGCCTGGCAGAGAAGTGTCTTCACACTGTCCTGAGCAGGGCTGGCCAGAAATCCCCAGTGCCAGGGCTTTGTCATCCTCTGCATAAAACTGGGAGGTACTGTGTTTTGGGGAGCCAATCCCAATCCCTGCTGAGAGCTGAGGCACCTAARAGTAGCCTTGGGAAGGTCCTAGTGGTCCTGGCCATACTACTTGATGAGACCAAGGCTACTCCYCAGAGAAGGAGTATTTGTTTCATCTCCCACAAGCTGAAACATCTTGGGCTGAGGTGCCTGCCCCAGAGCCCAGCCAGATGTGGTGCCAGACCACTGTGACAAAAAAGATAGCTAAAACTGGCCCGGAGGAAACAAAACAAGAAACCCCAAAACCCCAGAACAAAACARACCTGAAGAAAACAGCTCGCCCGCCCTCCCCACTTACATCAGCGCTGCTCCCATGCTGTGGTGGAGGGGGAGGTGATGTTCACCTTGCCTGTGCTGGTCCTGAGTATCCCCCACACASAAGGGCTGCTGTGGGAGGATGGGGACATACCCTCCTGGTGCCCAGATGGGCAGTGCCAGCTGTGGGACAAGCATTGCTTGGTAGGGCTGGGAGAAAAYGAGAGCAACGCCAAAAGGGATGGCCCCTGTGGGTCAGGCTGGGGCTGGCACCAGAGCATGGGGCACTTGTGGAGGGGCTTTAAGCTGGCCCTGTGCCTACACAAGAAGCACTGGGGACTGGTGGTTTCACATGCCTACAGTGTGACCTTGTGAGAACAACACCAGGGCCTCTCCCCCAACTGTGGGCATGGTGATGTCCCTGAGCAGTGGTGGAAAATCACATCTCCTGCTGAGGGTAGGGCTGGGTGACCTTTGTGGGTGTTACAGCCACGAAAACATTGCTTGTAGGGCAGGCCAGAGAGGGGGYGGATCTTGGTGCCCCTTCCTCCCCACTTTCTTACCATGACACYCACACAGAGGGATGTTTGCCTCACCTGGGTCCCTGAGAGTACCCKTATTTCTGCAGGGCTTTGGCGGGGAGTCCCTCCTGCCCCAGACTCCTTTGCAGGTGTCTGTTTTGTCCCACAGGCTGCGGTGACCTATGGGCAGGCAGACCTGCAGCAGCACTGCCTGGCCTTCATCGAGGGCTGCACCGCGGTACGGTGGCAGGTGATGGGAGAGCATGGTGTGGGGTACCCCAGGGCATGGGGGGCACGTGGCATGGAGAACACTGCATGAGGCACGGGAGCAGGGCCCCTAGGGACAGGATGCCTGGAGGTTAGGAGAGGAATAAATGGTATTTGGAGAGAAGATGCTGGGTCATTGGCAGAGGCAAGCTGGAGGGTACTGTGCCAGGGGKTTGGAGTTTGGACTGGGGGATGCTGGGGTGCCAGGGATGGCACCAGGATGTGTCGGATGCATGGGGGTGGTGGCTGTATGGGGTCCTGGTTCCATCGCGGTGCTGTGCTGTGCTGGCAGGCAGTGGTGCGGACACAGGGCTTCCGTGAGCTCTCCGATGTGGTGCTGGCRCGGGTGCTGCGCAGTGACCGCCTGGCTGTGGACGAGCTGGAGCTGGTGCAGGCTGTGCGAGAGTGGGCACACGTCAGCTCGGTGAGTGTCACACAGCGACATTGGGAACGTCAGCACCCTGTCCCTGAGCCCAGGGCTCTGTGATGTACACAAAAGCTGTGTCACTCCTTCAAGCCCCTGCCTCCCCCTGGGCCCAGGACATCACCAGCCCCATCTCTCACACGCCATTGCCTGACAGGCTGTCCTGGAGCGTCCTGTGCCAGAGGTGGCTGCCCTGCCTGTGAGGGAGCTGCGTCTTCCCTTGTTGGCACCCAACGAACTGGTGACACTGGAGAGCTACAACCAGCAGGACCTGCTCATCCCGGTGAGCTGCTGCGTGTTCTCGGGGTGTCCTGATTGAGCTCCGGGGCTGGAGGATGCTGCAGGGTAGGCTTTGGGAGGACCACCCTGTGGTCATGCTGATTCTTCCATCCCTGTCCCCATCCCCACAGGTGGAGAACATCGCGGCAGCCTGGCGTGCCCATGCACTGAGGAAGGGCAGTGGGGTGCCCTCCCGCCTCTGCCGTCCCCGCAGGGGCACACGGCCCCGTGACCACCACCGTCACCTCGAGCCACAAGCCAAGTAGGGGCTGGGCAGCCAGTTTTGTCCAGCCCAGCATGGGGCTCTGCAGGGCCARGGTGTGGGGCTGGGCACTGATGCTAGCGTGGCCAAGAGCATCATTAAGGTTGTCCCGTGTCACAGCATCAGGGCCAGGGCAGGATGCCTGCGTCACCCCAAAAAGTAATGCAGGAACTGGGGGTAGGGTAGAGCTGGGTTACACGATAGGTGCGAGGACACTGCAGGCAGCACGGACAGTGACCCGAGGGTGGCGGTGCTGCAAGGACCCAACGCTGCCGGATGGGGACCCAAGATGAGCTCCCCTTCCCCGGGGCCGTGCTGCCCTCCCCCGGCAGCCGGGCCGTGCTGCAGCGGGAGCGAACGCCGGCTTGGGGACCCTGGGGCTTAGAGCGGGGACAGGTGGGAGGGGACACTCGGATATCTCTGCATGCACCGCTGCACCCACAGGCTCCCACCCTCCACGGCCCCCCAAGCCCCGCCAGCAGACACAGGCCACACACGCAGGACAGGCTGCCAGTTCTCCATGTGCCACACACACTCTACACACAGCGTGCAGCCCCCCCTGCACCCCCGTTGCGTGTGTGCACACAGCTGGGTCTGTCTCAAGCACACATCCCCCCTTTCCAGCTGTGCTCCCCAGGAGAAAGGGCCGGACACAGCAGGTAATTTATATATAATATATATATTTACTCTTTAAAAATAAACCTTCGGTCCCCACTACCGCCTGTACAAACTACAAAAATAAACCTTTGCTCTCTTTGATATAAATAACTTAGATGGCGTGTTAGGGGAGGGGCTGCCCACCGTGCCCACGCCTGGCACAGGGACAGTGTCCCCGAGGCCACCCCTGCTCAGCGGCAGTGTTGGGGGGCTGGGGCCGCAGGCACAGCAAACACCGCTGGAGTTAAAGTGCTGGGTAACGGCGCGGACGGTGCCCGGGACGGGGATGGGGAGGGGACAGGGGYTGGCTGCAGGGACGGCCCCGTTGCACGGGGACATGGTGAGAAATGCGGATTCCCAGCAAGATGTGCCCGGTGGCACTGTGGGAGCCCACCTCAGCGTGCACTGTCCTGTGCGTGCTCAGGCCTGTGCCATCCCCTGGGCAGAGCACGAGTGTGGCACGGGGAGCTGTCATCGTGGGACAGCTCAGGGGCTTGGCACAGCAAGGACCACTCCAAGGATCTCCCCCTTCCAAAACCCCACTTGTGCACTGGGGAGCAACAGGCTCCTTCTCCACTGTGGCACATCCATGATCTCCAGGCTTCCCATCCTTGCCACTGGGGAAACTGAGGCACGGACTAGCATGCTGGAAGGGGTGAGCTGCCCATGGAGTGGGGGAATGAACCAGGTCTGTGCCCCTGGGCTCCTTGCTGCCTCCAGTGGGCAGCCCTGCACTGGGCAAAGGGTCTGCCCGCTCCCTGCCTGCACCCTGGGCAGCCGGGCGAGGCTGTAGGCTGAGAAATAAATCTTTTAAAATAAGCTTAAAAATATATATCTCTCTATAGATAGTTTCCCTTTGCAATAAATAAAGGTGGGGGTGCCCACCCCAGGCCTTGCCCATGGCACACCAGGGCACAGTTGGCTCTGGGGCTGCCCCCTTATCGGGACGGGGGGCATCAGGGCACCCTGTTGGGGTACCCCAGCTCACGGCCCGGGATGGGTGGTCCCAGGAGGAGGTGATGGAAAGCAGGCAGTGACCCCACAGAGGGGGAGCTGGCATGGCACCGAGTCCACCTTGCCAGCAGCTCCAGAAACAGAGGGGGGAGTTAGTGCTTCCATTTCTGGGGGGCAACAAGCCCAGGGCAGGATAACCCCAAACCCTGGGTGACGGGACACGGCACCAACGGTACAGCCTCGGGTGAGGAACACGCGGGCACGGCGTGGCCTGCACACAGCTTGCATAGAAGTGCCAGCCTGCCCTTCCAAGCCCCGGTGCAGGGGGGCCAGTCCTCCTTGGCCAAGACCTCTCCGGCGATTAGCAGCACRACGCGGGCGACCCCGCTCTGCACCCTCCTGTGCCCACCGGGTGCTGGGGAGATGCTCTGCCCAGGAACCAGCAATCTGCAGGGAGAGAGATTTGGGGGCTCAGTCGGGTGTCTCCACACCCCCCTCACACCCCCACGCTGCCATGCACCAGCCCCACGGTAGGGTGTCCCCAGGCTCACCTAGCGCCGGGCACCTGCCCCSTGGTGTCCCATGTTCTGCATCTCAAAGGTGTCAGGCACAGCGGTGCCGCTGGCACTGGGCTCATCCAGGCAGTCCCGCTCGCTGCTGGTGAAGCCCTCGGGGCTGAAGCTGGGGTAGGAGCCGGGCAGTGTYGGGTGCAGGGCCACCGTCACCGATGCAGTGGCCGTGACGGTGGCGTAGCTGCCGGCAGGACCCTGTAGGTGGGTGCTGTAGGCGGGCAGGGCTGTGGCGGGTGCTGGCCGGGTGCCCGGCAGGCCGGGCTGTGGGTGCTCTCGAGGCAGTGTGGGGCACGGCTCCCCAAAGGGCAGGGGAGGCGGGGGCTGAGGGCCAGAAGCCTCTTTCTTCCCCTGAACATCCAGASTGTCCTTGTAGGGCTTCAGCACCTGGAGAGGAAACACAAAGCRTGAGGGCCCCCAGTCACACTGAGCATCCCTCTGGCAGCACCACCAGCCCACATCCCCCAGTTCTATCCATGACCCTCTCCCTGAGGATGCAGGGCAGTCAGCAATGCCACAGTGGGCAGAGACACTCACGGTGATGCGGGGGAAGCTGGGGTCCTTGCCAGCCTCCAGCAGGATGTGTGCTGGGGTGGGGGGCACAATGAAGGGTCCGCGTGGGCTGCCCGGCGCCACACTCTCCGTGTAGTGCTCCGTGTCCGAGGGCTCAGGGAAGGTGGCAGGCCAGGCTGGAGCACGCCGGACGTACAGTCCCCCAGAGCCCAGGCATGGGGGTACCGACTCCGATGGGGGTAGRCAGGAGCCACTATCCACCAGGGATGCCTGGGGAGAGAAAACAGGTCAGAGGGGCCAGGGACAGAGGAGTGTGGAGAAGTAGAGAGTGTGGGTTGATAKGAGGATGGGAATGAGGGTCACACCMGGTAAAGCAGAGATGGGATCATATGAGTCAGGGAGGCGTGGGGAAAGCTGAGTGTGGGGTGAGGCAGGACCAGGGTCAGGCAAGTATGGGACAAGGAGGATATAGGTCAGAGAACAGCTGAGGTAAAAGATGGATGGTATGGGGCAAGGGATGGACTGAGATGGGTTTGAGATGAGGCTGGGACTGGACAAGGCAAAGATGGATGTAGGGTGAAAGGTGGGCAGAAGAAGGGTCAGTGGGGGATGCAGAGAGGTTGGTACAGGATTGGGGAGGACCAGGGAGAGATGGGATCGATGGGTCTTGTACCTCAGGGGGTGGCCCAATGACAGAGAGCAGGACGGGCAGCAGCACCAGCCCGTTGAGCAGCCCCAGCAGTGTCAGGATGGTCAGCACCGCAAAGAAGTACCTGAAGGGACCACAGGCACACGGGGTAAGCAGACACAGCCATCGTGYCCCATCCCACACCACACACCCGGCCTTGCCATGTCTCCCCAGCCACCAGGCAAGATGGAATTGGAGACCCCAGCGAGGCGTCCTCACCAGCTGCCCCATATCCCCACCGCCAGACAGGGGGGCTGCCACACTCACCAGTCCCCACTGCCAAAGCTTTTGTAGGGCAGCAGGCTGCTGATTTACCCTTCTGCACTGCTCACCTCATGATGAAGTCAAACTCGGAGCCAGCCAGCATGAGGACACCCAGGAGGGTGGAGACAGCACCATCCATCACAGGGGCGAAAGTGTGCTCCAGCGCTGCAGCCGAGCGCACGTTCCTGCTCCCCGCAGCCGTCAGGAATCCCTGAGTGGGATTAAAATGTCATATGGGGCTGTTCCCATGTGCYACCCATGATGGGCCACCCATCGGCACATGGCCAAGGGGGTGAGGGCACCAGGGAGTGGGAACTGGGTTCTGCCTGTGCTCACCAGGGCCACGTGGACGGTAAACTCCACACCGATGCCCACCGAAGCGATGAGGATGACCACAGGGATGGCGCTCAGCTTGATGCCCATCAGCCCCATGATGCCAAACAATTCCACAGCAATCATGGCCAGGATGGAGACCTGGAGGGTGGTGGGGTCAGTGAGGGATGACTTTGACTGGCTGTCCCCCTCTCCCTGGCAAGCCTGATCCTATTCCATACAGGGCAGCCTTACGTCACTGACCCTTTTCCCCTCTATTTGGGGTATCCTTCTGTCCTATCTTCTGGGGGTAACCCTCACCCTGCTCTGCATGGATGTCATCAAACCCCTGCTCRCTACACACGTTCCCTTCATAATGGGTTCCCTGATCCCTCCATATGAGTCCCCCACCAACTGCCACCTCCATGTGGGTGTTCCSCTACACCCTTCTGCATGGATGTACCCAGGGCTCCCAATACCCTTYATCAGTGATAAAACTGATCCCTTCATACAGGAGTCCCCTCACACYGCCACTCCCATATGGGTGTCCCTTCCCTCCACGGTGCCCCTGGCCACCCCATCACCCAATTCCCACGAGGCAGGTACCCAGGGCCACTCAGCAGGATGGCAGAAAGGCCGGATGTCCCTGACCCCACCCTCAGGACCATCCCCACTCATCGGGGTGCGTACTCACGATGATGCCAGCGGTCCAGGGRTTGAGCAGCAGCAGGGCACAGACGAGGAAGGTGCAGGCCAGCAGGATGCTGATGGCCAGCAGGAACCAGTGCCGCAGGCCGATGTACTGCTCCCAGAAGAGGAAGGGGTAGCCGCTGGGGTAGCTGAGCACGCCGTGGCGCTGGGCAGCCTCCCGGCAGATGGCCCGTACACTCTCAATYGCCTCCACGAAGTCGGATGTGCGACGCAGCCCGCTCAGGTAGAAAGGGAACTGGGCAAACTCCAGCGGCTGGGCTGCTGGGACTGGAGAGGAGATGACAGGCAGTATGAGGGTACAGGCAGAATGGATGCACAGGCAACACAGAARTACCGCAGTCACACCAGACTGAGTGCAGCCTGATGCCTGGCTGGGTACCACAGGTCTGGGGAATGTGCAGGAAACAGACTGGGGGCAAGGAGGAGGGGGTCTCTCTGCCTGCAGGATTTTGTGCATTGGTGGGTTAGTCTATGCAAGGAGAAGCTCGAGGGCTGCAGCAGGGATGTGTTGCTGCGTGCAAAGGGCACAGGGAATTCACAGTGGGGTGCTCAGGGTGTGGGGTGCAGGGGGGACAATGGTGAAGAAGCATAGGGAGGCAAGGCGGGTTAACCAGATGGGGTAAGGGATGTGGGGGGTTTCCCTTTGGGCAAAAAGGTGCAGGCAGCAGYGTACTCAGCAGGAGGATGCTGGGGCAGGGGGGGAAGCCCACACGCTCACTCACTTCGCAGGTTCTCGCCCGTGGTGTCGTACTTGTCATGAATCCACTCGGGGGGTGGGGGGTAGAAGTTGGCCTGGGAGGCGGCAAAGCCCAGGGGGTCATTGCTGGCCCACACCGTCAGGCAGATGTAGAAGGTGTCGGGGGGGATGATGCCGTTCTCATCCACCAGCCGCCGCGTGGTCAGCTACAGGAGA